TGGTTCGCTTTGCGGCTTCCTTATCGGCCCATGCTGCATTTTGGGGCCCTAAGCTGGACACTTGGCGAAGAAGTCGGCGAGAAATCTGGCGGCCGTGATTGGCCGACGCCGCAGTTGACCTTGGCGCCGGCCAATCATAGCCACCGGATTTCTCGCCGTCTTTCTCGCCAAGTGTCCAGCTTAGGGCCCCTGGTCGGCTGCGGAGCGTTAATAAGATACGAGTGACTCACCACGCCCTTCGTGTCTTAGACTGTCCGTGACTGTAGTAGCGTCCCTAGAGCGATTTGAAACTCACAACTGCTGACGCTGAGTTAATTGTCCGTCACAAATTCACGATCCGAAATCCTTAGACACATCCGCAATGCCTAAGGGCGATCTATACACCAACTTCAGAGAAGGTCGCGGTCCGTTCATTACTCAACTTTGCAAACTTCGACCCATTTTTAATTGAAAATTATGTTTGGTTGGCTTTCATTTTCCTTCCTTTTTTTTCTCTCCAAAAACACAGTTAAGCCGTTATTTTTCTCTCGCTTTGATCGTTTCTTTTTTCTTTTTCGTAAAATAATCGCAGTCGCCAATCAGGAACCCTAATGAACTCCGTTAGAACCATTTTCTTTCGCGTCTATCTTTTTCTTCTTTTTGCCATACGTATATACATTTTATTCTCATCTCATTTGGCGTTCGGTGGAGTACGGCAGCGGCAAGGGCAGAAGCGATTCGCGGTTGATTAATTGTGTGAAGCTTCATTTGCCGCAGATGCTGCCCGCGACTCTGAGTGTATATATATATGGGCCGCTCGGTAAAGACTGCCCCAAATGAAGTTAGGCCGGGAGGCTGATTGGGCCGGGGATAAAGCCAGCCGCGTATGAGAACGCTAACTGCCCATATTTGCATTCTGACGATACTGCCCAGCCTTTTTGTTGGCCATCCGCAGCGAACCGTAGAGAGCGGATATACGGCTCCCGCATTAGCAATGCCGGCCGTGCTACGTACGTCTGTTCGCAGTTGGTTTAATTTCTCTCTTTTGTTTCTCGCGTATAGGCTCTAAATGAATGTGGCTTTGGTATCGGCATTCCAGCGCTTATACATTGTAGCGTTTCTTGTTTAGTACAAAAGTCGGTGTTTTTTTTTCCCTCGGTGTTGATGTAGGACTGAGTCGTGTGGACGCGATGTATAAGACAATGATTTTGTTTATGCCTCGTTGAATGAAAAAGGTAATCGAAAAGTACCGATTTATCGCTCATAGAGGTCGACGTTATCGTTTGTGTGAGTGGGGTATGTCTCCTAGTTATATGACTATCTCTCTCTCTGTCTCTAAACCCAGATTGTGACTGTTCACGCTTCCTGATTGGTTGTTTGGAGTGGTTTCTCGGCTAATGCCATAACCCTATTGGCTCTGGAGCGATAAGAGATTTGCTCGGGACCCGCCCTGCGTTTGACATTGTCAGTGACTATCGGGTTTATTAAGGGCGTAGGAACAGCGCATGCTTGTTAGGCGGCCCGAATTTATGCGCAGAAATAACGCAGAACTATATATATTAAAAAAAGAAAGCTGACTCGTGATTAGAAAAAATATTGTGCCGCTCACAAGTTCCTTAATGCTGTTTCAAGTTCAGTCGCGTGCCAAATTAAGCCATTTTCTCGGATGGGAAGTTATGGTAGGAATTCTGAGCGAATACTTGCCCATAGTGTCATTAAAACAACGCAAAAAAAAGAATAAAAATAAAACCTGCATTATTTTGATCTGTCGATCAAAGAGTCATATGCGAAATAACATTTTGTAAGAAACGCAGTCGTGGTCCACGTACAATACCCACCCTCTTGGCATGTACCGTCGCGTCTTTTCGCAGCGTCGCCTCGTCATGCTCTCCTAGCTCTTCTTTTCTTGCGACGACACGGATAATGCACAGACTGAGGCGACGTAGCGTCGTGTGGGATGACTCACAACTTATTGACACGCTCAGTCGGTTGGCGGCGCAGCTAGCCACCATAGCGCAGCTAAGTGTCTTGGCAGGCGGCCAACTCTGCTACACTCGGCGTCCGTTCGAAGCCATGCTTCAGACGACAGAGTCACTCAGAATCTGAGTTGAATTCTGCAAAAATGCGATCCTGCATTTCAAAAGAAGAAAGAAAAACAAGAAAAGTGGAAAACGTGTAGCGTCTTATCAATCTATCACTGAAGTGCGTCCAAGAATCTGCTCGACGCCATTTGGAAGCGCAGCTTTCGTACACAGTATGTGCTGAGCTACACAAATCGCGATGATTCCCTCACCGCATACTCTGCAAAAAAGTAAACACGCTCGATTTTTCAAATTTTTTTTTAATGCCGGAAACGCCTATGTTTGAACGTTTTAAGCCCTCAAAATATATGATGTGGAGCGCTTGAGGTGTTCGAGAATTTAATTAGGAGCGGCGCACGCGGCGCTCTAGTTTCAAGTGTCTATTGTCCAAGATTCAGGAATGCTTGCTCTCGAAACCGCCGCCCAGAAATGAGTGAAGCTGGGCGTCAATGGCGGAGCGTGCCGAATGCTCGTTGGAGAGCGACGGCGACCCCGCACTGCGCACGCACTCGGCCGCTGGTCACGACATTTCCGACGAGAGGCGTGACCCTCTTAAAAAAGCGCAGCGAACGGAGCAATAATAGAACCGTGTACGAGAGGAATATCTGACGGGTTCGTGCAACTGGCTTTACAAGTATCAAAGCGTGAAACATATTGTCCCATTCGCGTTAGATGCAGCTCAGAATGACTCCTCCATGTCTATATATACATGTAGCCCATAAAATACGCATTAGATTTGTTTTTTTTTTCCTACCCGATAGCAATCGTGGAAAAAAAAAAAAAGACAAATGATTAAACTCCAACTCTGCAGCTCAACCAGAGCTTGATGCCGATACGCCCTTCAACGTGTCAATACGACACGAGTCCCAGCCGAATGCTGGCGCGGCAAACACTCGTGTTTAATCTGCGTCCACGCTTGATCTCAATTGCGATCATGTGGAAATTCTCTCACTGAGGCTTCGATCATTCCGGGTGGCGTTGCTTCAACTCGCCGCGGCAACAAGTGCGGCCACGTGGTCTGGTGACGGTCTTTCGGCCGCTAAGGTTCATTGTAGCGATGCGCGGAGGTTGGCAACGCACGGGGTAGGCGCAATGCTTTCGGCATCGTGAAGCCCCATGTCCGGCGGTTGTACATCATTCAATGGAAACGGCGTTATCTGCCGAGATGTTGACAGAGGTTTCGGCGGACACTACTCGAGCGTATTCGAAGCGTATTCGCCTCATACGCATGTATGCTGCGAAGATGTCTGCAGGTAGTATGCATTCAATGTGACAGGAGCGGCATGCAAGGAAGACACACGCCTCAGACAGTAGGGAGTTTTAGGGAAGCGTTTTTCCACTCCCCATAGGGTACGATAAGCCCTCAGGTACCAACTGCGCATGCGCCACCACAAAAGACTCGCGTATGAACTGTTGGTACCGGAGGGCCCATGGTACCGTATCGGATCTGCAAAAACGGTTCCCTAAAACTCCCGAATATCTGCGGACTGTCTTTTGTGTGATGCACTAACGGTGTTGCCCGAATTCTTTAGAGTTCAGCTAGTCCCGTCACCGTAGCGATTGGACACGAGCCCCGTGGACGCGAACGTTCGCTGAGGCGTTGATTGTAAGGGAGACCAAGTCCGCATTCAACCGACTACACGGTCAGCTCGGGCTGATCACCGCTAAAGTCGCTGGATTCCCGGAAAGTGGCGCCACTACCTTCCCTGCCTGCTAGCCGGACACGGAGAGGTACTAACGTACAGACGAACGAGCCTGGCAAGGTGATTGGCTGATCAGTTTCAGTTGCCACGGAAATCTTCAGTTTGATCCATTAAAATCTTCCAAGCTTCGAAAAGGGCCGTTCTGAACCACTCGCTCCAAGATCGCTTCGGAGCATTGTCGTGCTGAAAGTGTTCCTCGCCAATATAAGCGTCTTTGGCACTGAACATCCAATCGACTTATCCATCGTGCTTATGTCCACAGATCCCTTACAACGATAGCGTAGTTCTTGCGTGTTTCGAGACAGCGAAATTAATTTTCGATGCTGCCAATCATCCACGCCGCATATGGTGGCGGTGCAAAGATGTGCGCTTGTTTCGTCGGTGTGTGGATAACAATATCTCGGAAGTCAAAAATTGTCTTTACGAGGCGACCTGTCACGGCGAATTTGGATCGGCTCACCAAGAACGGAGAGGTCTAGGAAAACGCTGCTCAATCCATGAACCCAATTGGTGACCATACGGGGGGCTTTGCGCTGCTTTCCCAGGATCCAGTGTCCTTTAACCCGGCTACCATATTATCATCATGGTCCGCATAACTACCGTAATATCCTGAGAGATGCCCCACCCCGGCAGATAACCTACCCCTATTTTTAACACGATTTTCTATTTTTTATATCTTAAATGAGCAGCAAAAGATTGTTTATTCTTAGTAATTGCAGGACCCCATGGCTAACGGTGACCTCGGCAGAAATGGTGTTGCTTAGCCACGAAAGGAGTTAAGCGTACATTGCTGCCTGGGAACGACAGTCGTCGTTGGTTCATTGCCCCTCCCTGCAATCGGAAGTTTCGTCGGACACAAAATATAAAGCTAGCTTTCTTTGAACCTTTTGTTTATCGCACTCAAAAAGTTAGCCCAGTCCTTATTTTCAACCGATTGGCTTTTCATTTTAGGTGGGCTATCTCTCAATATATTGCGGTAGGTCAGCAAGCTTTCGGATGAAGAGACGGAAAGAGCCCGATTCTAGCTTAAACATCACACTGCGACAAACTCCTGTCTCAGTCGCGTTGCGAGCCAGTACTTTTGCGTCTTAGTTGTGCCATATAGTATGCTTGTGAAAAGTGTGTTACGTTCGATGTTCTTGCTCTTTTAAACTAAGAGTTTGATTGTTGTACAGCATGTGTGGAAATTTCAATATTTGGGGTTGTGACATGTATCTTTCTTTTTCTCTGCTTGCAGGGGTTTCGGATTCGTCACCTTCTCGGATCCCGCCAGTGTAGATAAAGTTCTAGCAAACGGTCCACACGAATTGGACGGCAAAAAGGTGAGGAATTTTCGAAATATCGAGTTTTTTTTCGCGTGATTCTGCGTACGCGGTAGTGCTGTGCACTTATATCATTTAAAACATCACAGCTTGTTAAAAATGCCATTACATTATACCGAATCGGGACTACACTCGCTCTGGTCGAATAATTTGACTCCGAGGTAAGTAAAAGCGTGACTATAACGCTACCTTGCGACCCTTGAAGAAGAACTGGCAAAATTGTAACTTTTTCTTTTCTCTAGCGGGGATTCCACTTACCTCTGGTTCAACTAAACAATGAACGAAGTAAACCTGTCTGCGTCCAACATGACGTGGTTAGAAGCAGGCCAAAGTTGCCTCGCAGCGTCCTCGAATCGACGTGGCGGGATCGCTATTGTCCTCAAACGCCACGCTGCCTAATAGTAGTGCATTAAAGTTGCAGGAAGGCTCGCCCCTTCAATTCTAGCAGTTTCACAGCTTATTGCACGCTTTTACGGAATACCTCTGTCGCCTGTTTTCGGAAGGAACGGACGAGAGCCAATTTTTATGCCTGACGGACAGCAGCGAATAAATATTCAGAGCGTCGTTTCTCGTGCCAAAAACGAGTGTATACATATATTTTTTTTCCTTTTTTTTTTTTTTTTTGCCAGAACCGTTTGGCGTGCGCATGAAAGTGTCGCTCGCTTGTCGCCGCTGTTTTGACAGCCTGGAGGAAAACACGGCGTCGAAAGGGTTTCGGCGCTTGACGAAAATTGGCAACCATGCGAACACGCCAAGGATCAACATTGTGCTTCTCGCGGTTGCTTCCGGCGCTACTACCCCTGGAACTTTTTTTAAACGGATCACAGCGAAGCCACGTACGCTCTAAAAAATGGCCATGCTTTTTTTTTCCACGGTATTAGTTATTGCGATTACGTAGAAAGCTGGGCGAACGGCGGTGCTTCATGTCTCACACAGCTTGACGTCATGTTCGGTGTCACATGAAATAACGTGATGGAATACAGCGATTGAAGGAATAGGGCAAAAGGAAGGAATGCAGGGCAAGCACGTTCTCATTCACAACTAAAATAAACAAAATATCTCCCCCCTCCCCCCCCCTCCCCCCCCCCCCCCCCCCCCCAAAAAAAAAAAAGAAGAAGTAAAGTACAAAGTTTTGTTTTCCCTTAAAAATAAACTACTCGTCGCCCACTCTCCGTCCAAACGTAGCGATATAATTGTCCGAATAACATGCCAAAGTTTCGGAACAGTTATCTCACTTGAAATGATTTTCAGAAATGTTCATTGGGAGAATGGTGCTTGTCGGGGTTCTCGAATACGTGAAGCTGAATGGCTCAAGTCACCGAAAACGGGCAAAAACGGGCTCCATTTTCCCATTGGAAATCTTTATAAAATAACCTATCACTTTAGATTGAAATAGCGGTTAGTCCTGAAACTTCGGGCTCTCGTTCAGACCGCTAGCGCTCCATTTGGGTGGAGAATTAACGTTCGGAAATGCGTAGTTCATTTTTGCGAATACAAAACAAAACGCTACATTGTTTTTGGGGTACCATGTATGTCAGAGAAAGACCAAAACAAGAAGGAGCAGGCCGCGAAGTAAAGGGATACACACGCGTTCAACTATCACCACCAAGCCCAACTTACCAGCTTGTCACATGGAGGACTTCACCCTTCTTCTTGAGAACTTGTTCCGACCTCTGTCTTCAGCAAGGTCCCTCTCTATGCGGAGCGCAAATTCGTCTGCTTCTTGCACAGGGGTTGCTATGATGTCAGAATGCCGAACTCTTATTGGCTGCTTGAAAAAAAAAAAAAAATAGTAGGTATACCTTAAGGCCTGTAGCATTGAAGTCTACCCACTATTCTTCTAGTCGAAGCCAATCAGAACTCCTGACGTCACCACAACCACTGCGCAAGAAACAGAGGAACTTTCGCTCGGCATTGGACACGTCGCCGAACGCCGAACGCTCCACCAGCGTTCGGCGAGGGCTCGGTTTCAATATCACGAGCTTCGTGTCTAAGCAATGGCGACCGCCAATGTTGCTCGATGAACTTTGAAAAAAGTTCTATTGAAATTGACGAACATGTGATCACAAGCGCTGTCTTAACAACCGTATTAATATATTAGCTTTAAGACCACTCCATGGTCCTCGACAGTTTAGGAAATCCACGGCGTATATCCTATTGGCGCCTCTAGCTTCGCGTTCCGTTCTTCGGAATTCTTACTCAATGCAGCCATCGCGTTGGCGACAACAAGACTCCTAAAACGCAGCACACCCTACTGTTCTTAAGTTGTCGCTAAATAAAACGATAGGTGTGTACTCGTACTATGTACGACTACTCACTTATTGTTACGTAGTACACGCATAGCTTGTTATGTTGGTAATATCATATATTTCAATTCCTTCTACCGAGTTATTTAACCGAATGAGGTATCTATATAAAATAGAGTTGCGGTTAGTCACTGACAACGGAAGGATCACAAGGCGAGGTCAGTGATTACAGTAAGCGTAATCGAAGATCTTTACTAGGTTACCCTGTAATCCACGACAGGCAAGTTGTTTCTGTTGCAGCCTGAATCCGGATATTTTGGTTTTCCTAACCGCCTCCTCTTTAACATTGATTGGTTCGGCGCAAGAATATTGCGTATCGAATAGTCCACTCCTGACCAACAAAGCCCTTTGTTCCCGACTGTCGCGTTCTTTCGCAATGTATTTCGTCGGTGGTGGCAGGATAATCCCGATTCGAAGTGTTTTGGGGTTGCAACACCTACAGCGACGAACAGAGGTTTCTTAGCACTGTCGTGTCGTGGGAACAGTTGCTCAATCTTCCCAAAGTTTTCGAACAAGAATTTGGAAGCAACAGCTGTCGGCGCTCATGGGAGGACTCAGACGCGTTCCACGCGACGGACCGCAGATGACAGGACGCAAAGAGACAATCTGTCCAAAACACTGCTGTAACAAAAAAAAAAAAAAAAAAAAGAGTTACATTGGGGTGTGTGAAGAAAAGGAATGTCTGATTAGGGAGGTGGTTCTTCATTCGGAGCAATGTTTCTCAGCTACACGCATGACGCTCGGTGCTCAACCGTCCACGATTGCATTGTGGCATCCAAGCGATTACGTTGTTAGGGACTTCCAGTCTCAAGGCGCAATAGTCACGTAAAAAGACAAAAAAAAAAGTGGTAACCTTACGGGTCACCGCTGACAAAATTTATGCGTATATATTACGTTAGTTAATGTCTGCGGCAACGTGTTTATACGGAGACTGGTACACTCAGTGCTGCGTGACGCGACACGTGGAACGACATGTCGTGTCACGTGATCTGCTCACGTGACGCCAAGGACGTCGCGCTCATGATGTCACTTCCACGCTACTTTTTTGTAACGCTTTTCGGTGTCAATCGTTTCCTAGAAAGACGCTTTAACGAATGCTGCGTTAATATCCTTGTATTTCAGTTACTTTGCCTTTAATATCACTGTGGCCCCGGGCCAATCTCTTTTTTGGGTGTGAGCCAACGATTTCAGGGCAACGGCAACAACAAACAAAAAGTAAAAAAATTTGAATGAGGGCATCGTTCGACAAGGCTAACAAATTCTGGGAGCAGAAAAGGCAAATTCATTCTGTAAACATTTTTTTTTCCTGTTCTAGCGTCACCAATCTGCCACACAAGAACTTGTTTGTAAGTGAACGGTACTGATTGCTCGGGCCGTTAAAAAGGTGCTTTTTGCTCCGTCGCCGGACAAAACGCAGTGTCGTTCACGCTCGGGAGATTAGCCATTAGCGGCGAGATGTTTTGGTGGCGCCCTCCTATGGTTCCCCCTTGTGACGTCATTACCTTGCAAACAACAAGTTCAATGGTGTTTGTAAATAACATGGTGGAAGCCTGAAGTCATTGAGCTCTCAAAGCAACACTGCCAACACCGTCAAAATTAAAGTTCCTTCATTCCTCTTATATCCATCGATGATAAATCCCCTTTCCCACGTCATAGTCAGCGTTCGGCCAATCGCGGAAGGCCCACCACAGCGACGCTTTCGGTCACGCACGGGGCTAATTCGCGGAGGAAAACCTGGCGAGCCCCTCTTTCTGCCTGGACGCAATGTCTCCGACGATTTTGTTCTTCCACGAATCTAACCCGTCACGTGGAAGCACTTAAGCTGTAACCCTGGAAGTGCACTTTACTAATCGTAACGGCACGGTCGTCAGACAGGGGAACTCGATTAAATGTAAATTATTCATTTAAACCGGATTTTTTTTTTAATGTGATCCGTACGATGCGCGCTATGCCTAGGAGAAGGTATGCCTAAAAGCTCGAGGTACAGAAGTGACGTGAGAACATTGGACGGCGTAGGTCATCGACGGAAAAATAAAAGCATGGCCAATGAAACGTATGCGCTGCAAAAAATAAAAAATAAAAACACGATAAGAACTTTTTTTTTTAGGTCTTTGTTGTTTGCTGAGCAGCGTCAATCGTCTGGTGTGTATTGCCTCTCACTATGGGAACACTGAGTGATTATACCCAAGCTTTAAAAAAAAAAAAATATGTCGGTGCATTTCAGGAGCACGAAACCAAAGGAATACGTTTATTCGTGGTTTGGAGCAAGTCAGGCATTTTTTTAAATATATATTTTGCAATGAACTAATATTTTAATATTGATTCATAAACTTTCGAAATATTCAATTTAGACAAAAAGTTACAATGACAAAGTCGTAGAGCGTCCTCGGGAACATCCAATTAAGTGGCGTTTGTCAAGAAACCTCTAACACTGTTCGTTTTTTCTGGGCTTCAAAAAAAGCCCGCGAATCACGAATGAAACGGGTGACTTTGCGCGCTTGAGAGCCTTGTATTGCAGCGCTCTCAACCGTGGCTCGAATGAACTAGGCCCGCAGGCTGGAGAGAACACTGGTGACAGTGTGCTGTGACAATATTCCCGTTTTTTTTTTTTTTTTCGCATTTCTTTTATGATTTGCAAGCGGTAGGTCATACAGACAATCTGACACTAAAACATTGCTACCAATCACTCTAAAA